ACAATAAAAAATAAAATAAAAACAAAACAAAAAAAGAGAATGTTCTTAAATTTAGTGATAACCTAGGGCAATGAATGTACAAATGCGCTTTACACAATTGATGTCTGTATGGATTGTGATAAGAGTTGTATGAGCCCCTAATAAAACGATTAAAAAAAATAGGGCAGCTGGCATCTCAACAATTGTCATCTCACAGATTACTTATTAATAATAGAGGGAGCTTTCCGGCGCTGATGACCACCCGGCGATCATGCCTCTCGCAAAGGATCTCCTTCATCCCTCTCCGAAGAGGAGAAGAGAAAACACAAGAAGCGCCTGGCGCAGAGCCCCAATTCCTACTTCGTGGATGTCAAATGCCCAGGCTGCTTTAAAATCACCACGGTCTTCAGCCATGCACAAACAGTAGTTTTGTGTGTTGGCTGATCCACTGTCCTCTGTCAGCCTACAGGAGGAAAAGCAAGGCTCACAGAAGGATGCTCCTTCAGACGGAAGCAGCACTAAAAGACCCTGAGTTGAGAGGAGTGGGAAGCCATTCTAATAAACCCAGTTTGGACACCAAAAAAAAAAAAAAAGAGGGAAAATGTGCCTTCAAACCAAAGTGGCCCTGTAGCTATCACTTCATCGAGGCATTCGCCACATGGTCACACACAAGCATCACCAAACACCCTGGCATCGAGGACCACCTGTTGTTGCAGTAGAAATACCCCGTTTCTCTGGTGAGGTGGCTTGTCCAATAGTGCTTAAACTGAATCTAACCCTGAGTACCCAATCAGATGCACGGAGAATGTGGTACAGTTTACATAGAGGTCATAACCTAGACTCTTGAGAAAAAAAGCTGTGACAATAAAAAGTAAAAAACTGGGAATGGGGACATTTCATATAAATTAAGACACTATAAAAAAATAAACTCTACACTATAAAAGAAAAACTCTAACTTGGTGGTTCTCAACCTTCCTAATGCCGCAATCCTTTAATACAGTTCCTTATGTTGTGGTGACCTCCCAACCATAAAATTATTTTTGTTGCTACTTCATAACTGTAATTTTGCCAGTGTTATGAATCGGGCGACCTCTGTGAAAGGGTCGTGCGACACACACACCCCAAGGGCCACGACCCACAGGGTGAGAACCGCTGCTCTAACTGCTACCAGCTAAATGTAGGACAGTTTTTGTGATAAGATTACAGACTATACAGTGAAAGACATTAATTTTAGGGCTTGAAACAGTCCGATGTTGTTATTAGGTACCATCAAGTTGGCTCTGACTCACAGCAACCCTATGTGCAACAGAAAAAGAAACACTACCTGATCCTGTTGAAGTACAATGGGCCTGTAATAGGATATTGTCTGTCCACACACAAGGAAATCCAGTCAATACAACTATTATTCCAAATTTATGCACCGACCACCAGAGTTGGTGATGCAGAAACTAATTCTATCAGTGTCTTCAGTCTGGATCAAACATTCAACCAAGGTACACTGACAATTGATGGCTGGGATTCAAAAGTTGGAAACACAGAAGAAGAATTTGTAGTTGGAAAACATGGCCTTAGTGTGATAGAAATGAAGCTGGAGACTGCATGATAGAATCGTGCAAAACCAATGTACTCATCGCAAGTACCTTTTTCCAACACTGCAAAAGGCTGCATGTGAGCTTCTCCAGATGGGACCCAGAGAAGTCAAGGTGATGGGTAGAGATGATGGAGAAGCTCAATAACAGTACTTAAATGAAGCCAAGAACCAGCAGTGGAACAGGCCACCAAGTGCTCAGATGTGAGTTCAGGTCAGGTTGAAGCGGAAGAAATTTAAAACAAGTCCAAGAGAGCCAAAATACAACCTTGAGGATATCCCACCTGAGTTTCTTTTTCAATATTCATTCACAAATATTTCAGAAACTAATTAATGTTAACACTTTTGATATACAGTTTACATAGCATACATTTCAGTAGCTCAATTAAATTAATGAGTTGTGCAGCCCTCACCACTTTCAATTCTAAGCTATTTCTTTTTCCTGGCTATGGACTGTGTTGGAATGTTTTCTCAACATACACTCTTCCAGATAGAGCTCTGTCCTATACATTCATGAATGTCCCTGGATTTGTTTCTCTAGTCAACCCAGTCTAACACACAGACTCAGAACTGACTGGAAGGCAGTATTATTTGGTATGTCTCACAGTAGTTAAGTGCTCAGCTGCTAGCCCATTAGCTGTTCTACAGGTAAGACACGGCAGGCTGCTTCTCTAAACATTTACAGCCACAGAAACTCTGTGGAGCAGTTCTACTCTGTCTTGGAGGGTCACTCCCTCGCGTACCAATCAACTCAGTATCAGTGGTTTTGGTTTCACATTGTGTATTTGTCACAGTGATAATTTTTAAAGTGATGAAAATAAGCATATATTTGCCACAAACTCTTCAAAGAGGGGGATGCATCCTTTGTAACAGTGCTAACCAACAACTGAAATGTTCTGTTTCTATATAATAGCCACTAACTTAATGAGTATGTGAAATGTGGCAACCACAGAAAAAATAAGTTTTATTTTATTAACTTATATAGCTACATGTAGCTAATGACTATGCCTAATTATACAGTGCAAAAGTTCAGAAAATGGGGAGAGTGGCATGGTTGTGACGACTAAGCTATATG